GACATTCCAGCACGACCAAATCACTTTAACTATGGACCGTGATGGGGGTGGGGGTGATTGCACAGTGGTTAGCACGAAGACACCCAGACCTGTGTTCGATCCCAAACATCAGCGGCACGCAACGCCTCAACCAGTCGTGCCCCCCTCCCCTCTCCCTTTACCAACAAGTGGTGAAGTATGGTCAAAGGACCCCCCATGATGGACACAGCGTGGAGAAGGCCTTCTTTCCGCAGTAGATTGACAAAGCGATGTAAATTAACTGTTCATTATTAGAATACGGGTGCTGGAGCGGTGGCGCGGTGGTTAGTCTGCTGTGCTTTGAAACCCGGTAACCTAAGTTCAATTCTCTTTGGTTTTTTCGGTAAAGTCACGTAGGTAAAATAAAATAAATAAATAGCTGTATACAGCTACTTTGCTGTGACTGTTCCACCTGAAGACGGAAGCTTGTGTTGCCTCCGAAACGTCGTGATTTAATTTAGTTGTTTTCATTCTATTTATTTTACCTACGTGACTTTACCGAAAAAACCAAAGAGTATGAATCCTTGCAGTCACGAAAGCTTCAAATCTAGAACTAAGTTCAATTCCCAGCCATTGGCTAATACCGGTGGCGAGTGATATCTGAACCGGTCCTGAGCATTCCCACTTCGCCAAACCTGCACTGACCAACCGGCATGGTGAAACAACCCCCAAGACTGGCATTGGGAAGTCCTCCATCCATTCATCCAGCAGTTGGCTGACAGAGAGGCCTGTACATTCGGCTAAATTTTGCATATTGTTTCAGCAAGAATTCGAAGAAAGAATTTATTAAAGTTTTTTTTTTGGGGGGGAGGGGGGTAAAGTTATGCGGATAAAGAACCCATTTGGCAAAAGACTCCACCGTTTCGCCCAGTCATTGCCGCGGAGTTATTATCGCGGCTTCTCATCAGTGAGCCGATGATGGGATGTTTGTCTGACTGCCTGATTGCCCCAGCTCGGGGGATGAACGGTGGGCGGCTGGGTCACAGGACGGGGTTTGTGTGGACTCCACGGAAGGAATGCGGCGAGCAGACGGAGGTTGCTGCGGGGGGGAGGGGGGCAAGAGAGGTAGGGGAGGGGGAGGGAAGGGGGTGGATGACCCACCACCATTGAGAGTGGAACCTCTCTCTCCACCCTGTCTGCCGAAGGTCAGGTCATAGCTGCCGGTGCCGATAAAAAAAAAATCGCGGCTTAAAATTCTCCCTTCCCTCGCTGCCTTCCCTCCACACCTTGCGTCACGCCGACTCAAAGAGGAGTCGACGTGAGCCGGATTGGCAGCTGCAAATTATTGATACATTTGTTTACCCCAGGAAAGCCACGCTGAGCCTCAATCCTTTTCATTACAGGCGGTTTAACACGAAGTAGGCTTTCGCGACCAATATTATCCATAATAAAGGGGGGGGGGGGGAGTTGGGGGGGAGGGGGCTGGTTATATCGCGTACATAGCAATGCGTCGTTAAACCGGCCACCATCCGACACAGCCAATTAGTAAGGTTTGTTCACGTCACCAAAAACGTGCTAGTTCGTTACTACTTCAGCACAAGCGGTGTGTTGGAGAGCAAACCCACGACATTTACGATGTGAGTACCGTGACGCTTAGCAGTAAGGGGGGGGGGGGGGGGGGGGGGGGGGGGCAAGAGACAATAGCTATCGATGTGTTTCCCCAATCGAGTAAAATTTGCGGGTAAATTTGTGTTAAATTGGACAAATCCTATACTTTGACGCCGGCACACACACGTGGCCTATTTATTTTCCGAGTAACATCCAATGGGCAGCAGACGGCTCGCGTACACACACGCGCGCACACACAGTGCATACATTTACACTAATGGTTAATACACCGGCAGTTATTAACCAGGGACGGCCGCTAGGTTCGAACCGCGAACAGCACTCTGAAGTAAGCGGAAAAAACAAGCTACCCGCTTTGGCCATGTTGCCGTTCTGAGAAAGAGCTGTATAGGGCCTCAGTTGGGGGAAAAAATATAAATAGTTTAGTTTAATAGTCAATAGCATTTTAAAAAAATGGCTAAATTTGTATGGTTAAGAAGAGGAATTAAAAAAAAACCTTACCTGGTTAAACCGAGCTTTCTGTAGCACTCACATGCCTGCACGGCGAGCTATAGGGGGTGGAAGTGTCATTTAAATCTCGTCAGGGCATGGAATTTAATCTAATAGCATCGCCTCTGCGGTCATGCTCGGTGGAATAATTCAGACGGATGCCTCGGGGCAGCCCGATGTTGCTGGTAGAATGTACACAAAGACAAAGATCCCCCGTATATCCTTTTCTTTTTAACAGACTGTTGGGGACAAGTGCTGTAAGCGAGTACCATTGAAAGCCGGCACGGCACACGAGGGGGTTGGCGATTATCACCACGCACGGAACGCCTTTGTCTCCCCAGTGCTGAATGTTTAAACACTACACCATGTTATGTGTTTGAGGCTGAGTCTACCTAGGGGAGGCCCAGGACCGGTTAAGATAATCGTCAATAGTCTTGGTCGTGATCGGAAATTGAACTCGGGTGGCCGGGTTTGTAGAGCGGCATGCTAACCGCTCCACTACCGCTCCCCACTACATGTAGACACAAAGATCCCCCGTATAGCCTTAACAGACTGTTGGGGCAAGTACTGTTAGCGAGCAAACGTGTACACACACACACGTGCACAAGCACAAGGAAGAAGAGGAAGAATTAATAATCTCAACACGTTCCATGTCAATAATAACAGCAACATTATGTGGCCTTAAAAGGGAAACATATAACGGGGCTTTGTAAGGCAGGCTTATTGACAAATGAATGTTTTTGTTGACGTGTGTGTGTATAGAGACGCTGGAGACATGCCAGGCACACATAAACACACGGCCTCGTATACACACACACTATTTCATCATGGCTTTTACTTTAAACATTATTTAATTATCTTTTATTTTAAAGTATAATATTTTGATACCCCCATCGAGTGGAGGTGATATTAGATTTTAAATGCATAAGTTTAAGGTTCACATGCATGTTACATACGCAAAGACACAGATTCCACGTTTACCCTTGAACAGACTGTTGGTGCAAGTGCTGTTAGCGAGCACCTATTGAAGCAGGCTCAGAGGACTAGCTGGGGTCGTGCGGATACCACCACACTCGGTCGCCTTGCTGTTCTTTACGCATCGTAAAAGGCACTCATTTAAGATGGAGTTGATGGAGTTGGCTCAAGCCCCGACTCGGATATCACTCGCCACTGATGTTTGAGAAACCACGGCGCAGTGCAACTGCATCGAAGAGCGCGGGTTGGGGGGAGGTTGCGGGTGGGGGCGAGATGTTAACTACCTCGCCTGATATACAGGATGGCATGGGTTCTGTTCCGACCCTGACGCCTGCTGCATATTTGGAATTTGCGTGTCTCTCTCTCCGGGTCCTCCGGGTTTTCCCTCCATATTTAGAATCAACATTTCCACGTGATAGTCACTGCTTTGATCTATCATTGGTTTTCCATTTCGCTTTCTGACAAAAAGCTATACAGCTCAGTGGGCATTATCTGGTTAAAAAATATATATACTGTAGTTTAGTTTAACGGAGGCATTGCGGGAGTGAAAAAAATAATCCTCTATTAATAACTAATTAATTATATCTCACGTATTTTTATTGCGAAAAACAACAGAGTTCAGGGTCACCCGTAATCACGCTGATGGTCGTATGCGTGCACACTTTGAGAGCAGCCGTAGAAATATGATTATTTTTTAGGGTGATGCGTCACCCCTCCCCCCCCCCCACACGAAGGACAGAATAACACGACGAACATCCTCTACCATTATGTCATTACTTTACGTTGCTTTATTAAAGAATATGTGACATGCTGCACACCCGCCCCCGAAACCCACACTAGCCTCCTTCCACTTCAGATTTCGCCACCCCCCCCCCCCCACGTTTCCCCCACCAAGCATCCCCCCTCCCCTCCTACCCCTTTCCCCCACACCCCCCACCCCACCGCCCGCTTTGTGAGCTCGTCAAAACGATGGTAATTACGGGAGAAACCCGATGGGAGTCGTTCCCACACTTTCTGGCTCGGCTGAGCTCTTGCGAAAGTGGAAGGAAGAAATGGGAGGGGGGTGGGAGGGAAGACACGTGGTGTGTACTCGTGTTAGGGATGCGTTCCCGAGTTTCAGGCTAATCCAAATGAATCGGAATAATCGAGCAAAGATGTAATCACCAATCTTGGGACGAACCGAGGCCAAGAGAGTCAACAACAACCCAAAACTCCCCGCGTGCCTTCTCCAGAGGTCATCATTGTCAGCACGAAGCCATTAGAAGCTAGTGCATTGCGTAAATAAATATACATAAACAAATGGCCCAAACTGTCTTTAAAATGGAAAAAAAAAATCCGACACACATACATACCGTACGCGTACCTACAAATTGCTTAGTTTTAGCCGGGTGTGTCTGGGTCAGCCACCCTGAGGATATTTCCGCGCCCGGCACACCGCATCCAGTGTACCGCCCTTCGCTATGGCTGTGGCTACCGCTAGCCACGTGCCAACCTACTCCCGTCTCTGTCAAGCGGCGACCCGACAAATATTCAGTGATCAATGACGCCCTGGCTGTATCCTTCAAACGCAAGGGGGAGGGGGGGGGGGTTTGTTACCGCGGGTGTGGGGGGAGTGGTGGTGGACGCAACCACACACCAAAGGGCTACTTGGTACCCCGAGCCTAGAGGGACGTGTCTCATACACAATTGAGGGGGGGGGGGGGGGGCAGGAGGGCGAGAGGCTCTTAAATAGCCCCCAACCCACCCAAAGACAAAGACCCCTCCACGCCCCGTATAGCCTCAACAGACTGTTGGGGCAAGTGCCGTTAGCGAGCAGTCGCTAATGGCACTACACGAGAGGGCAGGTGGCCAGAGCCAACGCCCTAACCGCCTTTTGTCTCCCGAGTGGCAATGTTTACACACCGCATCAGGTACTCAGTTGAGGCTGAGTGGACCTAAGGGAGGCCCAGGACCGGGTCAGATAATCGTCACCTGGTGTTGGCCGTGAGCGGGCGGGAATCGAACTGGGGTGGCCGGGTTAGTAGCGCAGTGGCTGTGACCGCTTACACGACCGCTCCCCTCTGCTCCACCACCACCACCACTAAAAACGAATCCCAACTCTGCAACAAAAAGAAGCAAAAACCCCTTCGATTCCCCCGGTCAGAATACAAATTCTTCACGGATGGCCCCCACTTTCAAATGCCCTCCCCCCACCCCCCCAAATAAAAATACAAAGCGGATATCTTTTAGAACATACGCCACCGCGTTGCTACATTAGCAAAGCTCCGTTTTTTTATCATTCCCTCTCCCTCACCCTCTCTCTCTCTCCTTTCTCACCGTTGCCTGGAGCTGCAATTGCCATTTGCTCGCCGGTTCGAGAATTCCTCATGCGCCACCTGCGGACGCCGTAATGAATTAAGAGGAGAAATTAATCTCCGCACGTCAATCACCCGCTCCCAGCCCGTGGAGGATAGAGGCGGGGGCGCCTCGCGACGATGACCCCCCCCGGGGGCTCCGTGCCAGCCAGCGGGCAGTGCCAGCCTCGGATGAGAATGCATAGGTGGGGGTGGGGGGCTGCGTGGTGGGTGATACGTACGTATGCAAAAAGGTATGCGCGTGTGTATATGTGCGCGTGTGTATGTGTGTGTGGTGCTGGCCACCCACCCCATCGTGTGCCGTTCTGGCCTTCATAGGTGCTCGCTAACAGCACTTGCCCCAACAGTCTCTTACAGGCTATACGGAGGATCTTCTTTCTTTGTACACTGTACCGTATTCGATTGTGGAGACCAGTAGTGTAGCGGTTAGCGCTTCGCTGCGCTACGAACCCGGCGACCCGAGTTCCGATTCCCGCTCACGGCCACCAAAACCGGTGACGATTATCTGAACCGGTCCTGGGCCTCCCCTAAGGTCGACTCGGCCTCAAATAAGCACCCGGTGCGTCGTGCAAACATCGACACTGGGGAGACAAATGTAGCCAGGAGCGGTGCTGGCCATCCAACCCCTCGTGTGCCGTGCCGCACGTTATAGGTGGTCTCTAACAGCACTTTCCCCAACCGTGTGTTAAGGCTATACGGAGAAGCTTTGTCTCTGCTGGTGAACGCGACTCCCCCCAACTGTACAAATAACAATCTGCGCAGTCAGGCGAAAGTGGAAGATCGCGCTAACTAGAAACTAATGTTTGCATTCTGCTTGCGGCATTTTGCAGCGTTGAAAACGCGAGAATGTCATTGGGTAAAGAGGCAGCGACGGGCGAGCAGACGGGTAAGCGAATGTATGGGCGAACGGGTGGGTGAACGGGTGGATGGGTGAACGGGTCGGTCTACCGGTGGGGTCGGTGAACTGGTGGATGGGTGAACGGCTGGGTGAACGGGTGGATGGGTGAACGGGTGGATGAACGGGTGGGTCTACCGGTGGGGTGGGTGAACTGGTGGATGGGTGAACGGGTGGGTCTACCGGTGGGGTGGGTGAACTGGTGGATGGGTGAACGGGTGGGTGAACTGGTGGATGGGTGAACGGGTGGGTCTACCGGTGGGGTGGGTGAACTGGTGGATGGGTGAACGGGTGGGTGAACTGGTGGATGGGTGAACGGGTGGGTCTACCGGTAGGGTGGGTGAACTGGTGGATGGGTGAACGGGTGGGTGAACGGGTGGGTCTACCGGTGGGGTGGGTGAACTGGTGGATGGGTGAACGGGTGGGTGAACTGGTGGACGGGTGAACAGGTGGGTCTACCGGTGGGGTGGGTGAACTGGTGGATGGGTGAACGGGTGGGTGAACTGGTGGATGGGTGAACGGGTGGGTCTACCGGTGGGGTGGGTGAACTGGTGGATGGGTGAACGGGTGGGTGAACTGGTGGATGGGTGAACGGGTGGGTCTACCGGGGGGTTGGGTGAACTGGTGGATGGGTGAACGGGTGGGAGTGCGAACGGGTGGGCGGGTGAACGGGCGGGTGGGTGGATGGGTGGGCGGGAGGGTGGATGGGATCTCGAGGAAGGAACGGGAGGGCGGGTGACTTGGGGGGAGGGGTGAAGAAGTAAAGGGAAAAAAGTAAACCTTTGTGTGCTTTAGAAAATTATAACAATTACGCGCTGCCAATTACTTACGAGCGCATTTCAGCAGCATATTAAAAACTGCGACATAGCCTCCTCTACAGCTGGCTCCTGCATTCCCGTCTGCTCGAAACTATTACGGTGGCACTCAGCATCTGATAGTCATCCTTTGTTCACATTAGCATTACAACAGAGATATAATTTATAAGCGTTACATATATACAGTATAAAACACACACACACACACATATATACACACTGGCACGGATAAACGGTCCCTCGTTTTGACAGACGCGTGGAATTCGTGGCGAGATCGAGGTCTGGGTGCCTGTTTCTCTTGTCCACCAGCCATCCGTGCTGCCAACGCGTTGTGGACGCGTGACAATTCATACGCATCGCCAGAAGCGGCGAATCTTCACGAATGTCGAGTAAAACTAATTGCGGCCGCACCCGTGCCATCATCGAAGAAGGCTTTCTCGGTTATGTCATGCATCACCACGCTGGACAATGCGTGTTGTTTAAATAAAGGCCGGGGGAGAGAGAGGGCGCTGGACCACTTCTAGTCAATTTATTTTCGGTTAGCACGTGGCGCCTGTCTGCCACGAATATGCCACCCACAGCGCCATCACATTATTAAACATTCCAAAAAAAAATCACAAATCTAACAACACTTCCCACTGATGTTCGCCGTTGCTGGGTATCGTACTCTTGTTGCCGAATGCAGGGTTAGCGACGAACGGTGCAAGAAAAAGATACGCTGTCCACCGCACCACCCATATACACATATTCTTGGTCTTACACTTGAACGAGCCTTGTTAACAAACTGCTGGGGCGAGTGCTGTTAGCGAGCACCTATTGAAAGGCCGGCACGGCACACGAGGGGTGGGTGGCCAACACCAAACCCGCACGCTTTTGTCTCCCGAGTGTCGATGTTTACACACCGCAACAGCCACTTGATTGACGCTGAGCCGACCGAGGGAAAGCCCAAGACCGGTTAGCTACATACGGTGCGAAAGAAGTTCAACATACATAATGGTGTTGGCCATGAGCGGGAATCGAACTTGTCTCGCCGAGATCGTAGCGCAGTGCGCTAACCGCTGCACTACCGCTCCCCCAACAAACAAACAGATATCTCCCGTAAAGCCTTAACGGACTTTTGGGGTAAGTGCTGCACACTCGTGCACACATATAAATATATACACACACGCATAGAATGTGTTTCTGCTTCACCGCTCACACACAGTATAACAAAACATTTTATTATTATTCTCCAAGCTGAGAGGATCAATTTCAACATTTTGGTAAAACCGGGATTCTGTGAGCAGCTTTGGTTAAAAAAAAAACCCCGTTACATTTTCTCCCTCCTGGTTGGGTGAGAGCGAGAAGAAATATCGGTTTCATCAACGTGTCCGTCCATCCGTCCGTCCGTCCTCTCGCAGCGGAACGCGCGAGGGCACCCCAAAAGATTGCCAGCACAAAACAATTACCCATCGTACAGACATTCGGGCGAGAAATTTTTTTTTGAAAAATTGATGACCAAATTTATCTGACCGGGTCGAAATAAATAAAAACTCCAAACAGAAAAGTGAATTTGACCCCCCCGCCCACCGCCGCCGTCGCCCTCCCAAATCACCAAAAATAAAATCTCAGTTTTATTTATTCAGCCGTGAGTCTGTGATGCACGGGACAATTTCCTGGGGCCTCGAGTCGGCACAAAAGGCGCGAATCATCAAAGATGACTTTCGCTTTGATGGCGAGTGCCACGAAATGGATGCTGCTTCGCTTGTGTTCCCAATTCACCGCCCACCGCACAATCAATCGCCATATTCATTTACAAGGCGAGGGGGGCGGTGGTGGGTGGAGAGGGGGCGGTGGAACAGTGGAGGACATTGATCGTAGGGACAGGAGGCGCTCCTGTGGGCTGACAACTTGTAGGCGAGCCACATCGAGGGGGCGCGCACACACGCACAGAGAGCGGCGACATTCCCTTGTTGTTTACGATAAAGCCGCTGTTGTTGTTTTTCCGGTTAGAATTGAGTGACGTGTAAATGCGTCGTGCACCCAACTCCTCCATCCGACAGCCAATCAGTAGGGTCCGTCACGTGAATACAACGTGCTCTGTGTTAACGCTTCAGCGTCGCCGGGTGTACGTGTGTGTGTGTGTTTAGAGAAAACCCACAACATAACGACGTTTCGCTGGTGACCACAACAAACCAGCATCATCATCGTCGGCATCATCAGGCGATTTGCCAGAAGTATGGAGATGTCTTCCTGTTTTTGGTCTTAAATGCTGTCTGGGAATATACCTCCCCCCCCCAAAAAAAAAATAACCGTTATCATTAATATCCGTCTACGTATTAAAACTAACAATGCCTTGCTTTGCTCCCTTAGAACTAAGCCTACGTCTCCGTTGCACCTCCGGCTTCACCGCATGGCTCAATCTGCTCACCGCGTGGGTGGCCGGACACCCGCCGGAGAAAGTCAACACAAAATCAGCACACAAAGCCAACACACAAAATCAACACACAAAGCCAACACACAAAGTCAACACACAAAGTCAACACACAAAATCAACACACAAAGTCAACACACAAAGTCAACACAACATCAATACACAAAATCAACACACAAAGTCAACACAAAATCAACACAAAATCAACACACAAAGTCAACAAAAAATCAACACACAAAGTCAACACAAAATCAGCACACAAAGTCAACACAAAATCAACACAACATCAGCACACAAAGTCAACACAAAGTCAAGGACGCGCCTCCGTTGTACACGTCGCTCGCCCAAAGTTATCCAGCAATTGTAAGTAATCCATAGTAATAGGATTACTCAGGAATTGAAAACATGTATACTATAGTAGTTAATTCATTCCATATATTCTTAATCGACCAATTGATGGACCCCCCCCCCTACACCATCATTATTCATTGATAATTATGTTTTATTTATCGACTGAGTAACTCTCCATTGTAGTGAAGATTCGACACTATTATTTGTGCTGCCACTTAGCGGCCCGTGAATAAACTGGGGTTCTAATCCAAAAGTGAGTTTGACGGTCTCAGACCTGACTGCACACACACACACAAAACAAATCCATCAATTAATTTGGCAAACTTCCTCCGCTTTGTTCCAGCAACATACAGCACGGTGTTTGAGTGCGACCTTTTTACGCGACCGTTCTTAAGGTCCCACTCAATACACACACAGAGTGCTCGCCGCAAATGAACCACGATACCTCGCCGATCTCGTCGCGGGACATAAAACCACCAAGCCAACTCCGCTCATCCTCGCAGCAGCGGCGTTTAGCTGGACATCGAACAAAGACGGTCAGGGGCCGTCCATAAATGACGTCACGCGATTTTGTACGATTTTTGACCCCCCCCCCCCCACGTCACACGGCGTCACAAAAAGTCAGACCCCCCCCTCAAATATCATGTCACAAAGCTCTGCCCCCCCCCCAAAAAAAAATATAAAACATGCTTCAAATCGCTTTAAACAATTGTCATTGTAGTGCGTATTTAATGTGGTGCTGCACTCTGATGTTGTAGGAGAAAACATGTATTAAAAAAAGTATATTTAATTAAGTAGAACGTGTTGTCTATATTTATTTAAAGTTGCGCATTTTGATGTGACGTCACATTTCTCAACCCCCCCCCCTCCACCCCTTGTCACACATCGTCACAAATGTCTGACCCCCCCTAGGTGCGTGACGTCATTTATGGACGGCCCCTCACTGCATCGCGCGCTTTCGGATGCGCTTCTGCGGCCGTCTGGAACGCTCTCTTCCTTCCGATATTAGGAAGCCACTGGAGCTATGGCACGTTCATATCTTAGATTGAAAACTCATTTCTTTAGAACTGATTTTTGTGTGTCAGTTTGTTGTCCTGTCCCCGAACCTCCGTTTAGCACGTTTGGCTACGTACGGTGCGAAAGACGTTCAACATACACACACACATCCATTCAACATATATCCTCGTCTGTTTAAATATTAGTAGAATAGTCACCCCTTATATCCGTTTAATGACTCTGTAACTTAATCTGTGATTGTACTATCATTAATCAGCCCAACAATAGATCTGACCGAGCCGACTTGCGCTTTATGAATGTATAATTCAACATCGATGTTTGTTGGTGCAATATTTGTTTTTCGATTACCTCGTGCGACGGTTTTGTTTTTCTCTCATTCCTATTTGTGTCGTTACTCGATTTAAATGTCTTTTCTTCAGTGGAACTCTTGCAAACGGGACTCATACCCTAGGCTCACGAGTTCTCACCTGGTTAAACAAATCAACTTTACTTTGACGCTGCCTTCTAACAGAATAATTTTTTTTTTACAATAAATATAACTAACTACATTAAGCTAATCTTTGGGGTCATGGCTTTTCATAGCATTTAGTCTCCGTGTCCCGTGCGGGTTATTTTTGGTCTTAAGGCCGCGTTAACCATGACGGTGGCAGCCTGAACGTTGATGATGGTGGTGGTGGCGGCAGCAGCAGCAGCAGCTGTGTTATTCCCGTTGCCAAAAGAGGAGCCCTTTTACACCTTCAGGATGGAGACAGAGAGCGGGAGAGAGGAGTGTTTATTTGTTTTTGCTCGGGGATTTCCGGAGGTGAGAGGGTTGTGGGATTCTCTCCTCCCCGCGCTATTGCATCGCCCTTCAGATGAACATGCATCTGGACGAGTCTTCTGCTCACCCACCCACCCACCCAACAAAACAACAAAAATCATTGCAAATGGCTTCAATTCCTCTGCTCCCGGAGGTCTTTCGGGGTGAGGGGATTTTTGTTTTTCCTTTCTCCCTCATGGTCTTCAACAAATGGCTCACTCGATCAGTGGGACCGCTGCCAGCGGCCACCGTGGTACCAACAGCAGATGTACTTTTTTTTGTCAAAATCAAAAGTAGTCCTGTACACTGTACCTCGAACGAAATCCGCGGACAAATTCCCATGGCGAGCAGCTTGGGGAAAGCATCGCTCACCAAAGAAGGAATCCTCCCGTGCCATTCATAAATAATGAACAGCGACCTCACCGTGCCCTCAAAAGCGGGGTACCTGGAGAAACCCCCACACGCTGCCAGGGAGATAACCACTCGGCACAACACGCTGTTACAGACGCGTCCGGACAGTCAACTTACTTCTTCTTTGGTTCTTTTCGGTGAAGTCACGTAGAATGAGAATAAAGTAATACAATAATAAAGTAAAACAACGCAATTAAATTCTCACAACTTACTTGCCGCGCTGCCGTCACGTGGCCTCCGCGTAACCCTCGCGGACTCGACGTCCCCGAGTTGGTGCCCCCGCGTCGTTTCGCGAATTCCGATAGCCGATGTGCTGTCGCCGCAACCCCACGCTTGCCTCGCTTCTCGGCCTTCGCCACGAGCACCGGTAACCCTGCAGATCGCTTCGGTTTACGCCGTCTCGATATTCGTCGTGGCGCCCTTCGCGAACGCATCCCCGACGTAAAAGCGGGGTACGACCGTACGCGAATGATGGTGTTTGCATGACCCTGTTACAGACGTGGTTCCGAATGGCCAAGCACACCCCACCCCCCTCCCCTCCCCCAATGAATGTGCCAGCTCTGTGGTGAGGTGGCAGGAAATTGTACGGAGGTGACGGCATCGTGATCAGCATCACCACCGTCGCCACCACCACCGTCATCATCGTCATTATCCCACACGCGGAACCTCAATCATTACTGGCAGGGCCCACTCTCACCGTCAACTCTTCTTCAGATTCAAGCTGCGCGCGTGTGCGCGCGTGCACGTCTGCATGAGTTACGGTGAGCATGTATGTACACGTATGGTGAACTTCTTTCGCGGCGTACGTAGCCAACCATGCTAATCAGAGGTGTGGGCAGTCGGCGAGGAGCGGTGGTGTGGTGGTTAGCGCTACGCTGCGCTACGAACCTGGCGACCGAGAGTTCGATTCCCGCTCACGGCCAACACCATTGATGATTATCTGACCCAGTTCTGGGCCTCCCCTAGGTCGACTCAGCCTCAAGTGAGTGCCTAGTGCGGTGCGTAAACATCGCCACGCGGTAGACAGAGGCGGTCGGGCTTGCTGCTGCCCATCCATCCCCCTCGTGTGCCGTGCCGGCCTTCGTAGGTGCTCGCTAACAGCACCAGCCCCAACAGTCGGTTACGGGGGATCTTTGTATACGTCTGCACGTACAATATCTGCGTGGTCACGAAAAATGACTTACTTTGCACGAGAGGCGACATTTGTAAATAAAAGCCAGCATTTAATTTATCTCAAAGGAACGCGATTCCGTTGTTATGATTAATTCATTACTGCTACTCTTTATAGCCTCATTACACGAGCCGGTTTTATATATTTAGTTACCGCCTTTGTCGACGCTGACATCCGCCATCTTTTGCAACATTACGTGATGGTATTTTTTTCTTGTTCTTATCCTTTATACGTCGTGAAAAAAAATATAAAATTGTATTCAATATCATAATACAGCAACGCGAATTACCACGTGCGAAAAGTGTGACGTCATTTCCATTGTACTGGAATATTCCATTTAAAAAATAAAATTGCGGGCCCATCGGTGCTGACAAGGTTCACAATTTTGTTCTCTGGTTAACTTTCTTCTTGTTTTATACGACAACAAACTCAACTGATTTTTTTCAGAATAAGAATATTTATTTAAACTGGAGGAACTATAAAAGCTTTGCAGCTCATCGTTACAACAATCGTTACAACAAACAGTACAAAAAAAACACGATAGGATAGCAAAGTTACAGGAAGCGTAAACAAATAACAAAATATAAATATGCACAAATAAATCTGGACAATGTTTGATCTTACCAGGTAAAGCCCACTGAGCAATTCACTTATTTTTGAGAAGTGACCTGGCCACAAATAATAGCTGGGGGGGGGGGTGAGGACGGGGGGGGGGTGGAGAGGAGGGGGGATGGGGAGGAGGGGGGGTGGCGAGGAGGGGGGGGTGGCGAGGGGGGGGTGGCGAGGAGGGGGGGGGGTGGCGCGGAGGGGGGGGGGGCGAGGAGGGGGATGGCAAGGAGGGGGGTGACGAAGGGGGGGGGGTTCGAGGAGGGTGGAAGCGAGGGAGGGGGTAGCGAGGAGGGGGATGGCAAGGAGGGGGCGACGGGGGAGGGGGAGCGATCGGTGGCGGCGAAGAGGGGGCGGCTCGGGACGGGGAGGCGACGGGGGGGGGGCGAGGGGGGGGGGCGAGGGGGAGGATTTGAGAATCGTCATTTTTCCCATTCCCAAGTGCCGCGCCAGACAATGGACTCGAGCTGACGTCACAGTGTGCCAACCGCTGCACCACTGAGGCAGCTGCACGTGTAATGGGACGTACAGCGGGGGTCCAGATGTCTTGTGACCCACATTTAATTTACCCCTAACATGTCTTTTTTTTTCTTTTTGCATATTCATTTCTGTTTTAAATAAACGATACGTTTAAACACATTACGTTTTAGAGAGTTCAATGGGGGTGTCACAAAACATCTGAACCACGCTGTACAAATAATAGCAAGGTCAAGATTGAAGGTCATCGTAACTAATGGGAGCCTGACTTCGATTCCCAGGCACGGTGGCAAGTGGCAATCGTAGGGGTCCTTGGTGCCCCCCTTCTCCAACCTGCACTGAACCAGCGTGGTGAAGTATGGTCAAATAACATCGGCCTGGGGAGACCGTCAATCATTAAGCTGCTTGCTTGGTCGCTTCGACGAATTTCTGCTGGATAACATTGGTCTGGAAAAGCAATAGGCTGATGGACTAAACCGTCGTTTGTATTGTGTTTATGTGTGGAGATAGAGAACGGGAGTTATGCTCACCATGTTACTCTACCCACAATGCTCCACTGCAACTCTTCTTTCGCACCGTACGTAAGCCAACCGTGGAAATCGGAGATGCGGCAAACAAACAAAAAACCTCTATGAGGTGGGCGTTTGAGTCTGCGTGGCGTGTGACCTCGTTGTGTTGAAACCGAGGCACCACAGTTGGGAATGGAGCCCTCTTGCTCGTAACAGCTGGCCCAAAACAGCAGCATTTGTTTGCACGAGCTTGACTCCGCTGATGAGAGCCACGAGGTCGAAACTGCTGCCGAGTTTTGTTTTGGGGATTTTTTGTTGTTTTTTTTTTGTCCGCCAACAAACGAAACTGTGCTGTTGGACAAGAGTGGAGCCGGAAGAGCCGAATAGGCCCCTGTGGACTGAACGCTTTTAATTTGCGTGCACACACCAAGAAGAGGAGTATAGTCGCTTGCAAATCGGTGTATAAGGCAGGCGTGTGCATGTGGAGCTTTTACCCACTATACGTAGCCAACCGTGCTAGACAGAGGTGCGTGGAGTGAGGTGGGTGGCAGAGTTGATCGACCGAGAGCGATTTTTTTTTGGGGGGGGGGGAGAGAGAAGCCGGGGGAGATTCCGCGGGGTGCACAAGTGTGATTTACCGGGTGACGCCACAGTGATTTGTGTTCTGTTATCGCCATCGCTTAGGCTTTAGGTAAATGGGTAACGAAGGAGGTTAAAGACGCTATCTCTAGTTCCGTGGCCCCGTGACACAGAAACGCTCACGAGGGCAAAAGGGTCAATGTATAAAAAAAACCCACAGCTCTGGAACCATTCGTCTTGCGAGCTGCTCACATTCCCTACGAGTGCCAGTGTGCTCATGCGTGTGTACACGTGTGTGTGTGTGTGTACACGTGTGTGTGTGTACACGTGTGTGTGTGTATAATCGGGCGGCATTGTCGTTTTATCGGCTGCGCAATGCTGTGTGTAAGCTACCTGGTCTGTC